TACATGCACTATAGTATAGTACTTCTAATGTATTATAGTATTATATTTCTTATTATATATTATTACTATATGAAAATATATAATATACATAACATACATATACATGTATATATATATATATATACACACACACATATATGTATATATAAAATTAAGCCTTGCAAAATTGTCCAACTGCCTGCTGAGCTACAAAATACACTTGTCATTTTCTTCTCCTGTCAGTGATGATAGCAAAACAAGTAAGCGTTATTTTAGTAAACCTGTCAGGGAATCGACTCATGCTGACTGAGTAAGTAGGTAAATAAGACTTGTGTTTTAATTTATTAAGCATGTTGCTTTGGAAGTGGTGTGATTTGCATTACTATCGCTGGTATAATGGCTTGACTGGAGGTTTCCTAGAGCATCCATGATATAGAGGGTTTTTGTTTAACATATCAAGTAAATTTGAAGGTCAGCTCAGTTTCTAAGCATCTAGCTTAGACAAATGGTCCACGTGTCCCTGCGGACATTTGTAGTATTACCCTGCCTAGCATAATAGTAACATTACTTGAAATTCAGGAAATTTCATTTTGTTATCATGTTATTTGTTGGAATAATAAAAATTTGTAATGAAAAGCTCAATAAATATCCTTTCAAAAGTGTATAATTTGAACCCACATTGAGGACAGATTTTCTAATGTATGTAACTTCTGATTAACCAACTCAGTAGATGATGGTAGTTTCCAAAACTGGTTGGAAACCAGTGTCACAGAGAAAAGCAATAGGACCTGTGACTTACTGAGCAACTTCAATATCTAGTCATAACTATTACTGTGCCTATATGTGAAACTATATAATCAATTCTATATTTCTGTAGGATTTGATTCATCCCATTTGGCAATGCCCAAATTTAATAGAAAATCTTATACAACACTTTGTCACACAAGCAAACAGAAACATTGTATCACAGAAAACACATCTGGTATTCCCCTGGATGAAAATGACAGAAGGATTTTTGGAATACAAGGAAGAAACTCCCAAATTTTCAGGGCTGTATACATCACAGATTCAGCAATTATATATTCTGTGGGGGAGAAGAGGTAGTGAGAGAGAAGGTGGAATAACATCCAAAAAATGTGAAAGTTCCTTAGTAGAAAAATATTGCTACTAGAAATTTCAGAATTGGAAAATAGTTTATTGTTGTCTTTTTTCTTTCTGTGGTGGCTCAGAGCAACACTGCTCTTAGATATTTCCTTGAAGCCTTGTTTCAGAACAGCTAAATGAAAAGAAAGTAATTTTCAAAGCTCCATAGCTCTTTCAAAGCAGAGTAATTTAGGGTGGAGCTCTCCTGAACATATACATGAAGTTCTGTGTAATTTTCCCTTATGAAAGTCTTTGTTCAGTTGGTTTTAATTCAGCTGCTCTTTGACTATTTGGACTATAATTTTCTGTGGCATATTTTTGCCTGAAAAAATATTGGTTTAGAAAAAAAATTTGCAAAGATTGTTCAGCATTTTCGGGAATAGGTTTGATGATAAAAAACCCCCAGAATTTTGCTAGAAACAGCATTTTTTCAACCTTTTATTTAAAAGATCAAGCATCCCAGAAAAGAGAGATGCTGCTGAAACTACAGATAATACTTTTTCACCATCCCTGTTAAAACCTACCCAATCTCAGCCAAATCATAAATCCATGGCTTGCTTTCTTTTCACTTGCTTGGTGGAGATTGGTTTGGCCTCACAGAACTGCTGGGAAAGGGGACTGATGTCTGAAGTCAGCACCAAGGGCTCTGGATCCTCCTCCTCCTTCTCACTATGAGAACCTGCAGCAGGCATAGAGACAAGGTTTGCCTCCACAGCACTCTCTGAGCATGTTACAAAATTTTTCCAATTTATCAGCCAAGGAACCACAGAGAAGTTTGCTTACAGTTGTTTTTATCCTTTTCCCTACTGATGCCAAGATTGCCAAAAAAGAAGGAGCAGTTTATCTGGGAACACAAATGAGGAGGAGGTAGTAGTCATAGCGCCAGGTGGAATTTTAGAAGAGAGGCTAGACATAGGCTGTGGGAAGGCAGGAAAACACCAGATGAGTACACAGCAAGGGAAACTAACGTACCAAAGGCCAAGTATATAAACTCCCTTTAACTTGAGTTTCCACCTAGGAGTGTCATGTGCAAACCTTAATCCATACACTATGGTGACATTTATTAGGTATGGATTGTACTGAGTTAATGGAACATCTCACCTTCTAAATTTTCCTTTGTTAAGCACCGTTAAGCATCCAGCCTCAGGCATGCTGAGGTGAGCAACCTGAAACAAAAATTGACACTTAGTCCCAGAGGTGTCCATCTCCCCATCAGTTCACCTGCGGTGACCACGCTTCTTTTCAAGGTACTCATTGAGAAAGTGAGATTTGCAGAATAAAGTATGTACTCAGATGTGGTTGGTATCTCCATGGCAGAAGTACAGAGAGAACCCAGTGTGTTAGTCGTCTGTACCTTAGTACTGGGACAACATGAATTCCTTCTCTCCATCACTTGAGTCATTTCCTGCCTATGTCCTTTCCTACTTTTGCAGCAAGAGACAGAGGATCTCTGCAAATAGCCCCTTCCTTCAGGGCATATTCATTTTTTGAACACCAGCTGTTGTTGGGTATTAAAAAGTCTGGCTGGTCCAGGCTTGGTGAAATAACCTCAAATTTTGTGTATCAAAAATCATATTTTGTGTAGCTTAACCCAATTTTCAGTTGTTTACTCTTTTCAGGATGCTGCTGAGTGCTGTTCATCCTGGCCCTTGTCCCCAGTAAGTCAACACTGGGGAAAATAAGATCAATGCTGTTAAGGATATAGGCTTGGGGCTTGATCCTGGTCCCAGGGCAGTCCACAGGAATATTACTTCAAAATTACTAGGATGGCAGTCAAAGTACAGAAGGAAAAAGACAGCATGGTAAATGAATGGGGGGCAGACCTACTATTTTTAAAGAGTAGTTAAGCACATTTAAGACAAAAGATATTACAGTAAACCATGGTTAAAGGAAAAAAATAAAGGGAAGAACAAGTCATGTCATATCCAACTTTATTTTCTAGGAGCTATATGATCATACTGAGATTGATCCAAAACTTTCTGACGGTGTTTCCCTTAATGCAGCTATTTTTTAATCTGTCTTTTAAACAAACAAAAAAAAAAAAACCAAAAAAAAAACCAAAAACAAACCCAAAACAGGGTCTTTCCCTTAATGCAGCTAATTTTTAATCTGTGTTTTAAACAAAAAACCCCCCAAACAACCAACCAAAAAAACCCAAAAAAAACCAAAACAAAAAAATACCCCAAAAACCCACCAACTCCCCCATAAAATAATAAAAAAAAGAGCAAACCTAACCCCCCCAAAACAAATCCTTCTAAAATCAATCTAGTGAACTGAGTCCTGGAAAAGAAACCTCAGAAAATCAGAAGCAGGTCTTACAAAACTCGGAGCACTTTTTATCTTTTCCAAATAGTGGAAGAAGACCACTTACGGGACCTAAGAGTTGATGTGTGGCTAGGGCTTAGATTCTTTAGAATATGTTACCTTTCAAACTGAAGGGAAAACAAGCAGAAGAGGAAAACACAGAATGAACCCTGTTTTGCAAGAATTTTTTTCCGATCACATCTCCTTCCTCACTGGAAAGATATTAACAGATGAAATGCTGTTTTCTGCAGAAGGCTGCAGAAATTATTTTTCTCAGCATATGGAATTTTGTTCTGTGTATTGTCTCTTCAAAGTGTGTTTGCTTTAATGTTTGACATATGCGAAATTCAGCCTTGGTGGTTATATTACAATCTTAAAATAATAATAATGTTTACTCCTACCATGAATTCACTTTTTAGAGTTTGCAATTGCCTGGGTATTAACCTCTCTGCTGTGCTTGAAGTGCAGCCCCAAAGAAAGTTCTTGTTAGAATTTAAGATGTGAAGATCCATTTCTGCCTAACAATCTCTTACTCCTGCATTCCCTGAAGTGTATCCCATCTGCTTTTGGGAGCTCTCATTGCAATATGCAGTGATTGCAGGATAAGCACACCATTTTCCTGTCAATACTTTCCTATTAGCCTCCTGGATCCATACATCATCGTCTTGCTGGCCTGCAGTTTGCTTATCTTTGTCTCTGAGGCTGCCTTTGATTTATCTAACACCCAGGTTAATGAGGCATGGAGCCCAGGGTGGCTCCAAGGATAATGCACTCCTGTATAAAAATGCTTAAGGAAGGATCAAGTGATAATCCATTCTAGACTAAAAGGCCTAGCTCTTCAACAAATGTTGTATTTCTTAATCACTAAGCTAAGACTATAATAGCTCCCTGTTAAGCTACTGCCATCAGTAAAACTAAACCCGCTAACTATATGAATTTACAAAAGAACTGAAAATTAGATTTTAATTTGTGTTCCAAAAAAAAAAAAAAGTTCATTTCTTAGGAATAGTTATCACCATTATTTGACAATGTTCTTATGCAAAAATAAGTTAGCTTTAATATTTAATTTACAGTAATAGTTTTATATTCCCTCACTGGGACCTATGTTTTTCTAAAGACAAAAATAACAGAAGCTAGAATGTTACTGTGGCAAGGATAAATCAAACTAGCTATTTCAATAATGGAGGTAATTACAAAGTGTATATATCTGAGATGTACTGAGTGGTTAGGGGTTGTTTAATTAACATAAAAATTTCAATATCATCAGCAAGAGTGTTGGCATCACAAAAGCATTGTTAAAAATGCATCTTAAAATAGTTATGCCTTTCTCTCTTCCTAGCTTGTACATAAGACTAATATACATTAACTTCCTATTTCTGCTAATTACCATCTTACGCAGAAACATTTTAATGAAAGCAAGGTAAAGATCCAAATAAGCTTTCAAAGCTTTATTTATTTGTTTATTTTAAAACACTCTACTGCATATTACTTTGATGTCTGTTTTGGCTTCCTTTTTTGGTTGTCGTTTTGTTTTGTTATGCTTGGTTGACCTTCATATTACGAATCTGCTGCAGGCTCCTGAAATATGTGTAACGTATAACCATTTAGAAAATGACATAGCACCAAATAATGGGACCATTCCTGTGGGATGACATGCTCGTGTTTTGAAGCAAAAGCCACACACAAGGAAGGCGTTCACCAATTGGCTCACCATAGCCCCCAAGGACTTGACCCAGGTAATAAGTCCTTTACTGGTCACTAACCTACATTATTGAGATTTAGTTTGGATTTTGATGACATGACATTGTTAAGGGTTGTTATTGAGATGTAAATGATCTTCCATTGGGTTATTTAAGACACATGAAGGACCTGGTTTAGAATGAAAATTAGTTATTGATTATTCCAGCAATTAACCAAATAAATTTGAGCACTCATATTAACATTTTTGGAAGCCTTAAATTATCTTTTGCTCAAACTGACCTAAGCAGCTAGATTGATTCCTTATGAATCTTTAAGATGCTTTGAAAAAAGGAAAACAAAGGTAAACAAATATTGTGGTATTCTGTTTAAAGTCTATTTTTTTTCTCTTTTATCTACTAGAGATCAGTAGTATGTGATGCAGTTGCCTATAGTGTTGTACAGTGTGCTCCATAGATTCTCTAGTATTAAAGACAAGTTTTGAGCACATACAGAAGACTTCATCCTCTTTGTTCCGTCTTTTTCTGAAACTTCCATCATAAGATTAATATAATTTGTAAATTTCAGAGTTCATTTTCTTTACTCCCATTTTTTTCATTAGTATTTTGAGTCTCCTGATGTAAAACTTCCTGAAATAAGGGCCAGTCCTTTCAAATGCCTGTGATTATTTGTGAGCACCTTGTAATGGTATGGATTGCACAAATAATAACAAAAAGCATTTCCCCATCTCACTTAAAAGTGGACAGTGTATTACTTTACCCCTAGACATTTTAAATGGGTTTATTGCATTTTTAGTCACATGAGGTAGTGCTGAGAAAGCTTTAGAGGCTGTTACACCCGCCATAAGGTCACAATGGCATGTGCCACTACATATTTGGTTTGGTGGCAAAAATCAGAGAATGTATTATATGAGTATATTTTACAACTAACTCAGCTTAGTCTTCTCTCTTTCTGTGCTGCAAGATCCAGCAAATGAAGGATATTAGGCACTAAAGAGAGAGAGGCATGCTTTCTTGTTATAATTTCACTGTTGGTGTCCCAGTGATACTTTTATATATAAAATATTTAGGTAGGGAAATGGCACAAGCAGCTTGACTGGACTACTAGAACTCATTACTTAATGTGCTGTCTGTAGATGGTACTACTGAACTCACTGAAACGAATACTGTGGTCATGTGCTCTCTTTTGTGTTGCTGTATCGTCTCAGGATCCTCCACACCTCAGCTAATATTACATGGAAAATTAGCTGCCTCCCCACTGCAGTTTGAACAAGGCTTTCAGAAAACTCTTCCACACAGAGATACTTCAGTTTAAAAGTCCCTTTCAAAATTAGCAGCTATGGCAAAGAGTTGGCATTTTCGAACACTGACTTTCCTTAAATAATTTTCTCTGTCTTATTACATACTTTTTTTTTTTTTTTTTGCTTTCTCAGATCTGCTGGATGGATACAGGCAAAGTACCCACAAATTAAAATGAGTTTTATGTCCTCTTATGGTCCCTGTCATCATTTCAATGTCTGTATTACCAGAAATTATACTCAACTACTCTCAGACTATATTACCTCTGATCATAGTGAAGGATTTCATGAATGGGTATTTACAGCATCTTTCACATCAGTCTCTACACCCACCAAACACATAATGTCAGCTTGGGCATTTTTGGTTCATTTGGTTTTATGTTGGCTGATCACTTGAATTAGAGATAAGCAGCAACTCCTAGCATGACTTTTTTTTAGCTTTTTTAACATAGTGGTTAAATATTAGTATCCAGCGTTAGTATTTTGATACACAGAGAAAAGCTAATTTTATGCCATTAGATGTTGAGAGAGAACAATAATGAAAATATAAGCATGAAAACTGCCCTTATTGTACTTGAAAAATATTTGTCTTTTAGATCTAAAAAAGCAAGATGTAGCTGCCAAAACATATTAACAGATATTCACCATTAAAAAAAATCTTTAAGGAATAAAATAAAATATTCTATTTCTCTAGACAGATTTCTTAACAGCTTCAAGACTTCACTGTTGCATAGGCAGCACAGCATCCCAGCTCCATCAGGCTCCCTTTCTTTCCAGACATGCATTACCAGCACCAGCAGTGCATATAACCAGTCTTCAAAAGCACACTCCTGTGTTTTTACTGACCTCTGATTGCAAGTAAAGATTATTCCCCTCAGACATTCCCATAATGGGGGTGTGTATGGTGTGCTGTTTGCATATAGAAATCTGTGAAACTGGAAATAGGAGTATGTTAGTGAATGCACTTTCGTGGCACTGGAGGCAGGGTGCTGTGGAACAGTCTGTAGATGAGCACTTATTATAAATACAGATATGTGTCCAGCTTCCTGTTGAGATACCAACCTGTGGACTGTGAGGGAATCATTATCTGTGTCCCTTTCTTGAAATAACTTGTGCTAAACAAAACAATTGCACCTGCAAATATCACCTGATACAACAGTTTTAAGAGAGATTGGTGTATCTTGCATTAATAATAAATGTGAAACAAAGCCTGATATTTTATTTTATAAAGATAAAACACAAGACTGTATACTCAAGAAACATTCATAATAAATGTCAGTTTTAAGGAGAAAAAAAGGTGTAATATTGTTTAAAGTATTAAAGGAGTGTTTTGCTTTAGGAACTGCACCCCAAACATTCTAACCACTTTTGATCCATGGTTGCTCTTGTGGACATTCTTAGCTTAAAATCTAGCAATTCTACCCTACAGAATTCGCAATATGCTTTACTATTTACTAACACGATCAATAGGCTGTGGATAACTGGCTGTCATGACTGAAGATGTTCAGGAAAGTGTTTAAGGAGAAAGCAAAATCTAGCAATTCTACCCTACAGAATTTGCAATATGCTTTACTAACACGATCAATAGGATATGGATAACTGGCTGTCATGACTGAAGATGTTCAGGAAAGTGTTTAAGGAGAAAGGTGGTGGAATAGATCTGAGTGTCAGGTTCCTCAGGCCATTTGGGTGCCTTCTCCTGTGATGCAACAGAAGAGATGGATGCAGAAATCCTGGCTTCTCGTGGGCAGTGACTCAGATGGCTACACAGGCAGGTAATTAATATAAATGTGATATATGTGCAATTTATATAAATGTTGCTCCTATCTCACCTATCCTTGAGGAAGAGGTGCCATTATCATTGCTGACATTGCTATGTTCTGTCATGTTTTGTGCGTAGCACAGTCACAAAATCTCACTAGATTTCTTTTTCAATTATGACTGTGCAGATTTATACAAAATATTGTTAGTGACTACTTGCACATTTGTGTGTCCACTAAACACACTGTGCAAGCAGATGAGGTTCTTCATGCAAAGCAGTGAAATGCAGTTAGCAATCAAGTATTTAACTAGAAATTGGTCTAAATGAAACACACTGAGAATAACAGACTAAAACTCTTACGAGAAGAGAGACTATCTCTGGTAATCTAATACAACTTCTTGTAGCTCTTATTGCTCCATTTATAAAGTAGTTTGGAAGCAAGGGCACCACTTGGAAAAGGAGAAAGTAATTTAAGAAGTCTAGATCTTTAGTAGGCCATTTCAAAGAGAAATGGCTTGGTTCCCTAGGCAGTTCAAGTCCTGCTTTTAGGGAAAAGTGCTGAACTCTGTTCTGCCAATGCTCATACACTGGGATTAGCCTCTGGTACTCTATTCCTTGGCTTAGTGGGCTCCTAGGCAGACACAGTCAAATGCAAAGTGTCAACCATGCAGGAATAAAGGCATACAGAAGAATTACTCTTCCTTCACTAGCAAGTAAAGCCCATGGGATCACGGAATAGGAACAGGAGAGCATCTGTGCACCATAGCCTTGCTTGGTCGGTATTTATCTTGTTTGGCAGCAGTACTGTGGTGAGAAAAGTGTTAAGGACATGGTTTTTTTGTTAATGTGAATGAACACATTCAGTAACATCTACAGCTGAGCTCTGTGAAGGGAAGTGTGAGTCTAAATGATGGGATTTGGATGTGCACACAGATTTTATGGTAGCACGATATTTTCTGAAGTGAGGATATGGGAGTTTTGGTGAATTCTTCCTTGGAAAATACAGTAACTTTCTGATATGTCACTGTTATTTTCTCACCTTTTCTGTTTTCTACTTGTCTAGTTTGGCCCTTTATTAGCCATATTTATCTGCACCTTAAAGACAGAAGGGTGGGAGACACTGTGTTAGAGCCTGAGTTTTCCACTGACACAGAAAGATACATAAATCTAAATTATTGAAAAATACAATTTAGCCAAGAATGTAAAGCCACACAATAGATGAAATCCTGGAACCTTTATTCAGTCAGTTTTCAAAAACAACCAGTATGCAAATCATCAAGAGATTTCACTGAGGTATGACTTATATTTGGTGATTGAGATTGTTTTGTTTGGGCAAGACAAGGGGGAGAGAATAGCGGTAAGAGATAAGATAGGTCACTTTTCTCATTCCTCTTTAATCAGTTAAAGCTGACAAATGAACTGAACAGTTGGACCAAAAGAGTTCCAAATCTCTTTCATGGCAATGAAAACAGCTGTTTTTCACAAAGGGATGATGTTTGAAATTATATTTATTTTTCTAATTTAAACAAAAAATGAGCATAGGTACTTTTGTTAAATGGAAGTTACATACAAGAACTTCAGGTGATTAGTCATAAAATATATTTGTACTTCTACATAGTTTTCTCTTTCTCCCTCTTTGACAAATCAAAAGCAAGAAAGAGTGATGAGATTTCAGGGATGAGGAGAGAATGAGAACAAAAAGCAAAACATCTTTTACAGTTAGTTTGTTCATTAAAAATATTTCCACAAAATTTTTTGCCAAATGCAATTTGATTGCATCTTTTATTTACTAGGTGAAAGTTTTGCATGGCACAAGATGGAATCCCTTCCCAGAAGTCTTAAGACTGGAATGGCAAATATGTAGTCAAAGCACTAGGGAATCTCTTTTCTTCTTCTGAATACCTGTGCCCCTGTGTGCTAATGTTAGACTCAATGTGTATGAAATGGAGTTTTCTGAGCCCACAAAAGCACATTGATGTGGCTTGCTGCCACACTGGTTCTGAATCTCTCTCTTCAGATACCAGGCAGCTTCTGAGGGTTTCTTGCCTTTAGTTCTGTCCAATATGGACACAATATGGAATTATATTAAAGTTGCTGTAAATCAGAGGACTAAGCCTGCCATCAGACTCTGTGGGTTCAAAGCCAAACTGTGCCATGGAGTTATTCTGGGAAACTCTGTTAGCCTGGTGGCCAGGGGTCTAAGCAATCAGGTGAAAATACCATTGTAGAAAAATTTGGGTTCAGCAGTCATAAATGTGTATTATGATGTGAAAGCAAAGCAATTCCCTAATTCTGATAAATTTGATCTCTCCTTCACCAGTGTAAGGAAAAAATAAAATTCAATTTTCCCCAAGTTTGAGAGTGCCTGGCTTTCTTGAAACCAATTATAAACATAGAATTTGATAAGCACATCTGAAATCTTTTGAAAAGCAGCGCTGTTAAACTATTCTTTATTTCATTTCCCCTTTCTCTTTTTATATAGCAGAGCATCACTAAATGGGTGTGCTCTTCCTTTTTCCCTTCTGATCCTTTTTTTCCACTTTCTTGATAAGACTTTAGAATAAGTATGACTTTAAAGGTGGTTTTAGTTATTAAAAACAACAAAAATTTGACATATTATATTTATCTTTTTTTTTAGGATGTTTCTAACTGATTTAAGTATTATTTCTTTCAACTAAAAGTAGATCTACATAGCAAAATTTGTAAGCAGACAGAGCTGTTTTCTTTTTTCTCTAGGAGCTATTTGGAGTCAAAATGTTAAGATCCACAGTAGGCATAATTTGAAATAACAAAATCTGTGTCTATATGAAATGGGCTACATCCTGGCAAATGTTATAGTTAGAACAGGTTAGGAGCTGGAGCCATTATGCAGAAACACAAGTTAGCATAATGAAATGGATGTTATCTGTAGCACTGTATTGTCGTAATATTCCCACCAGTCAAGGTATCTGTCTGATTAGTCTGAAGATGCCACATTACCTCGTAATGCCAAATATACATTAAAATGGGGAAAGCTGTGGGCGTGATTGAACTGTGATAGCATATGGTTTGTACAGTCATTGGCCTCTTAAGAACTTACCTTCCAGCTGGGATCTGTGTAACATAAGAAACAAGGATATCACATTTCCCCCCTCTCTGCTTCTGGCAGGTGTGTGCTAGAGACTGACTGCTAAATACTTTGTAATTAGTATGCCTTGGAGCAGTGGCTGTCATCTTACATCTGTAACTGGAGTGAGGGCACTGTTAGCACGACTGTGTTCATTTCTTTAGTGTCCCAAGCCTATAGACCTATACAAGGCAGCCTGAAGGATCGGTGTTTGATGCATGAACCATAGGCAGACCTCAGAAATGTATCTAATTATACCAGTATCTGACTGCACTATTGTAGCAAGATGTATTATTCATAGATAATGATGAACTGCTATTCAAGGATAGAAAAATCTTGTATATTCTGCCAGTTCTAAAGTTCAATGTCTAATTGAAGATTAAATAGTTTGAG